GCTCCAAAGATTATACCACAACCTCGTCAATTTTTGATTTTTTTTAATAAAAAAAATTGGACATATTCCTGAATGTGTATACTTTTAGATAGAAAAACCCCCAATCCGAAATTTCAAATAGTTTTCCTTAAAAAAATTCACAAAGATGACCTTTTTTTCCGGCTCCTAGGTGTATATCTCCCCTTAAGTTCTCATTGTAGACCACGCTTTAGAAACTTTTTACAATAAGCAATAAGTTTTAAGTCGCAATAAAATTTCCCAATTACAGTGGATTATTCTTCTAATAGTCGACTATGATTGGTCAATTTTATTATGACTTAAGATTTATTGCTTATTATAGAATGGGCTTTACGGAAAGCAGCACATTAATTGTTTATCGTGTGCAAACTTTCGTCGCGTGGCAAGCGTTGCCACGTTCTGTGTACAGAAGCCACTATAGTAAAAAAGTAACGATACAAGTAACGATGAATTTCGTTACTCGTTACTAAAGAAAATGTAACGCCGTTACTTTTTCGTTACTGATACAAAAAAGTAACGGCGTTACCAAGAAAAAGTAACGAAATAGTAACGTCGTTACAAATAACGCGTTACTTCCCAACCCTGTATATATATATATATATATATATATATATATATATATATATATATATATATATATAATATAATTGGTGACTTCCTGACAAGATATGTATTTAGGTGCGTAATTTCAAATATTTTGTTCTTGAAATAACTTTTGAAGGTCATTCCAAAGAAGAGCCTCAAGTATCCATCTAAACGTAAAATTTTGCGCTCTTTCCGAATCCGGGGTCAAAAATAGGGGTTTCTATTTAAAATTTCGATTTGACTTTCAAATGACCTTGAAAGTCAAGGTCAAGGTGAAATTGAAAATCACCATCCGATGTTCCCCTCCGAACCCAACAACTTTTGTAAGGATTATTTTCGGATTGGTGGCTCCCCTGACGAGATATTCAGAGTCAACGCTTACAAGTCTAGCTTGACCTGAAAACCAAAATTGATCGTGGTTTGTTTTTTAAGATATTTGAATTAGTAGTCATTCGTATAAAATAAAATTGTTCACACCAGAACCTGTGTCCTGTCATCGACATAATACATACATCGATGTCCAGGGCCCACGTTGATTGTGTTTCAACAAAGATTTGAATTTACATAAACGTTTAAATTTAGTAAAAATGGGTTCACCACTGTGAGTTTGATACACAAGTTCTCATACCTTGAATTTTTTTTCCTAAACGTTATTAAGCGGTTCGACCTTGAAATAATCTTTAAAGGTTATTTCGACTTTTAACATAACTTTAAAGTTTCTATTTAAAACATTCTATTTGACCTTTAAATGACCTTGAAGGTCAAGGTGAAATTGAAGGTCACCATCCGATGTCCCCCTCCGAACCCAACAACTTTTGTAAGAGTTATTTGGATTGGTGGCTCCCCGACAAGATATGTATTCAGGTGCGTAATTTCAAATATTTTGTCCTCGGAATAACCTCTGAAGGTCATTCCAAAAAAGAGCCTCAAGTACCCATTTAAACGTGAAATTTTGCGCTCTTTCCGAATCCGGAGTAAAAAATAGAGGTTTCTATTTAAAAATTCGATTTGACCTTCAAATGACCTTGAAGGTCAAGGTCAAGGTGAAATTGAAAATCACCATCCGATGTTCCCCTCCGAACCCAACAACTTTTGTAAGGATTATTTTCGGATTGGTGGCTCGATTTTTGGACGACTTTTTGGAGCTAGCAGCCATAGTAATATCCATGTTCATGAGTCACTTAAAAATCGTAAGTTTGTATTACTTTTGTTTTAATATACGCTCGTTTGCTTCCCGACTTAGCGCTGAATTTATTTGAACAAATGCGGCGCTTCTATTTTGAATTTTGGATTTTGCGGACGCGTGAAACGGAGGACTATTTGAATATCTGTCGACCACTTGAGTGCAATTCCGAAATTAGTGAGAAGAAAATTCAATTGTTGTAATTAAATTCATTTTGTCTATTTCGTAGATTGTCCACACTTCCTGAATTTAGTGAAATTGTATCTCAGTGTAGAGAAAAGGTCGTACTACTAGAATATTTAATTAGATTTGATAAAGTTCCTTTATTCTGAAAGTTGACCTTTATCGTTACAATTGAACTTTATCATTCAACTTTATATTACAATTGACTTTATCATTACAATTGAAGTCGAAATGTGCTGAAAAAACACACCTTTTATTTTTTTATTTCGGAGACTAATTGTCCGATTCGAATTCTGTTTACGCGTACGATACGCGATTTAGTCTAGATCATATATAAAAAGTTTCAAAAACAGCTGTTTGTTTGTTAAATTAATAAAAAATAAAATCTATTGCCAATCAAGCCCTCAATTTGACGAATTTTTATAAAATAAATCATTAATCCGAATCGGGTGGTTCTCATTGCCGAAATATCTTTCTAATTGTTGTTCTGAATTAATATTTTGTTTTGGCTCTAAGTTGTACAGATAAAATTTTGACTCTGAAACACTGTCGGAAAATGTTGTCGGAATGAGCTCTAAAATGGTTTCTATTATGGTTAAATTATAAAAAATCGTTGAATTTAGATAAATATTTTTTTCTTTTTGTATAATTTCGTATTCTAGTTTCGGACTTGTTTAATTTTGTGCATTCGGTGTTCCTCGATGAATTAAGGAGTTTAAATAAAAAATCTATCGCATCTAGCTTTCAGTCGTCGACTGAGAAAAATTTCCAAAATTTTTGAATTTAAATAAAAATAACTAATTGTCCAAATTTAATTCTGTTTCCACCGCAATGTTTGTTTTTGCGTTTTCTTTGCTAACATTATTTTTTAATTGAGCTAGAAAGCTGCTATAATAAATTTACTTTATGGGCCTATTGAAAATTTTTCTAAGTTCTATTTTCGAGTAACTTTTGCCATTAAATCTTTATTTTTCGCTCGATTTAGTGATTCTTGCACTGTTAGCCTCGGAATTATTGCGCGAACTTGGATTATTAAGTACATTTGGTCTAAAATGCTTATCTGCAATTTTATCTGTAAAAAGCTGTCTTAAATAGTCGCTGTGATAGAGATATGATATTCTTAACCTTATAATTCGCGTTCTAATTGTCGGATCTTGACTTGCGAAGGCTTATTATTGGGAGTGTGTATTAATTTTATGGGATTTTTTGGTAAAAATGCGGCTTTAT